TAAATAGCTCTCAATCTAGGCTGATGGTGCAAATCCCAATCAAGATGCATAAAGAAAGATGCATAATGACCCCTCTGCTGGGGTCAGTATGATGTGGCCCAGGGATTCAGCTCTTTCCTGTACTGCCTTTTTAGACACAGTGATAATTCTAGGGTCCCCAGAGGATGGATAGGCTCTATACTCCCTCCTGGCAAGCTTCTTAAATATGGTTGTTTCAGCTGAGCCCTTAGCTATGCTTTGGGACGGGCTTGGGGTGCAGGCCTTCCTCTCAGAGGAGACTCTCAGACCAGTTATATGGGGTTTCTCTCCCTCAAGCCAGGGGCAGAACTGAGTCACCTTATGAAAGCCAGAGAGGCCTGATCAGCCACCAGGCCTGGACAAAGGCCAAGCTACCTGAGCTCTGAAGCTGCGCCCATACACAGAGGCCAGATTTGTAACAGCCAAAGGGGAGCCTCCCCAGCTGGGCCTCCGCTCGAGGAGGGGCTTGTGCCCGAATGTCATCTGGAGAAGGAGTACAAAGCTGCTATTCTAGAGCAAGGCTGCAACAACTTGGCCTGGAAAAACAAAAGCAGCTTCCCCAAACACCTACCTTAGCCATTAAAAAAAAAAAAAAAAAAAAAGCTAAACTAAATTATATATCACAGATAAGAATTTTTATCCTTGAGCAATTAACCTTCTGATGAGGATGCCAAGAAAAACTAGTTACCTAACATAAACCTAGTGAGAGAATGAGGACACTTGCTGTATGAATTTATTGACTATCAGGTGGAGGAAGTCCGGAGGCATCTACAAAGTGTGAAGTTTGGTGTTAATATTGTTGAACTACAGCTCTGTGTTACACTGTGCTTGGCAGAAAGTGGAGAGCACCACAAGACCACACACAGGTGGTGATGAGATTTATAGTCCCTTCAGGGGGATGGCAAACATTTATCTCATCCCCAAACAGTAGCCAATAGTTCAGGTATGAGCAAAAAAGAACAGAGGGACCCTTCCCCTCACCCCTGAAACAGTTAGTGATCCATGAAGAAGCCACTGCTAGATTCCTTCTCTGCAGTGGCATCAGGGGACATCTTCACACGCATGGAACCCATGCAGCTTAAGTAGAGTCCAAGGCCACAGAGGTGAAGGGAGAAAAGGCCCAGTGCAATACAACATCATACCCTCCTTCCAAGTGAGCATCTGGGCTGTGTGTATACTCCTAACCCTGGTGGGTCAGGCGGGTTTATATCACTATAAACCAGGGACACTGAAGGTTGCCCTTGAAGGGCAGAGAGTGTGACCTGGGCCGCCTAGTGATACAGGGATGGAGAGAAAGGGAAAACACAATAGAAGCTGTTTGGAGGTGGAAGGGCAGGATCTCAGCCTGCTTCAGGGAAACTGGAGCCCAGTGCAAACTAAACTAGTCCAAGCTGCCAGGAGGGGGTCTTGGGAAGAGCTGAGAAGCTACAGTACAGGGGACGGAGTGGAGCCAAGAGTGAGGGCTGGTGCCAGGTGCCAGTTCCAGGCTTGGTCATGGAGGCCTGGGAGTAGGAGAAGGGGGAGCTGGTGAAGCCCAGGGAAGAGGCTAAGTGACTAGTTAACAGATTGCCCTGGCCAGATTAAAGACTACACTGCATAAGGCCAGGGAAGGCAT